GGAAAGAGAAGAGAGAGAGAGAGGAGAGAGAGAGAGAGAACAAGAGAGAGAGGAGAGAGAGAGAGAGAGAGAGAAGAAGGGAGGAGGGAGGGGAGAGAGAAAGGGAGAGAGCGAGCGAGAGAGAGAAGAGAGAAGAGAGAGAAAAGAGAGAGAGAGAGAGAAGAGAGAGAGAGAGGAGAGAGAAGAAGAGAGAGAGAGAGAGAAGAGATGAGAGAGAGAGAGAGAAGAGAGAGAGAATAAGAAAGAGAGAGAGAAAGAGAAAGAAAGAAAGAAAGAGCAGATAAGCAGAGAGAAAGACCGAAAAAGAGAGAGAAGGAACAATACCAACAAACATACAGAGACAAAGATACACCCCCCTCAAAAAAAAAAAAGAAAAAGAAAAATCACATTATACTCCCAGTCACCTCTCACAAGTCAGCAATTAGGCCTTTTAATCAACAACAACAACAACAAAAACATCATCTGTACCGTACTCTTTCCCACCTCGTATTCAAACACCACAAAGCCAATTAACTGCAGAAATCCGGGTGTTGCAAAATGCAATCTACGGCACATACACATATCTCAGCGTGTGGTTGATACATCTGGTTGCAATTACGTGTCACGGTTTGGCTCCGTGTGCGTGCAGTGGCGTGTGCAGTGTGATTGCAGGGTGAGGCGTGCTTAGTGTGTGTTTAGGGTGAAGGGTGAGAGTACTCTGTTTTTTTTTTTCGTTTTTTTTTTATTCATATCTTTATGGTTGTAGTTATTGTTTTATTTTATTGTTCTTCTTTTTCTAGTCGTTTTTCTTATTTTATTATTATTACTTTCATCATTATCATTTCTATTATTATCATTATCATCACTAGTGTGAGTACTCATTGTTTTTTTTTATAACTTTATCTTTGCAGTTATTGATGTTATTTTTGCTCTTTTTTTATAGTTGTTCTTCTAATTTCGTCATTATCATTACTATCATTATTTTTATCATTATCATTATAATTATTATTATCACTATTTCTTATTATTATTACCATCATATTATCGTTATTATTGTCATAATTCTTGTGATCATCATCATTATCATCATTACTATAATCATTCCTATTGTCATTATCATTATTATTATTATCATCATTATCATTATCTCTATCATCATGAACAATATTAATTATCATTATTGTTATTATTATCATTGGTATCATTATTACTATTATCATTATCCTAATTATTACAATTATCATTATCATTATCATTATTGTTGTTTTCATTCTTTCATGATTGCATATCATCATTCATTTCATTGATATTTTATCATTTACTATTAATTGTTGTTATTATTATCATTATTATCATTATTACTATTATAATTATTGTTATTGTTGTTGTTGTCATGAGCATTATCATCATTATTATTACTATTGCTATCATCATCATTATCATATCATTGATGTTTTATATACAGTATCATAATCAATATCATATCATTATCATTTACTATCATCATTGTCATTCATTATTACCATTATTATCATTTTACTATTATTTTTATACCTCCTCATTATCATATTATCGTTTATCATTATCATTATCATTATTATCTTGTTTTTTATTTTTATCATTATTATCTTTGTTATCATATATCATTTCTATAATCATGAATATACTTTATTATCTATTATATTATTATTATCATCATTAAATCTATTATTATCGTCATCATTTCCATCATCGCTATTATCTATGTTATCATCCTCATTATCTAATCTATTATTGCTATCATCATTATCTTCATCATAATCAGCATCATCACACTCATAATTATCATCACTATTTTCTTTATTATCATGATAATGACTATCATCATTATAATCTTTATCATTATCAGAATTCTTCTTCTTCCTTTTTTACTTCTGCTTCTCCTTATCATTATTTGTATATCATTATCATTATTATTGTCATTATCACCATTCTTTTTCTTTATTTACTTCTTCTTCTTATCATTATTTGTATGTCATTATCATTATTATTGTCGTTATTACAATTCTTCTTCTTTATTTATTTCTTCTTATCATCATTATTTGTATATCATTATCATAATTGGTTCACCATTAATGCAATGCAGTTGTTGTAAAACCTTTATTATTGATAAGAATAACCTTGAAAATAAAGTTTTATTAAAATCACATGCTCAGAGGCTGACAAAATGAATAAATTTATCAATCTATTATCTGGGAATACACAAAAGAATAAACTTATTAATCTGTAATCTGGGAATACACATAAAAATAAATGTATTAATCTATAATCTGGGAATACACAAAATGAATAAATTTATTAAACTATAATCTGGGAATACACAAAATGAATAAATTTATTAAACTATAATCTGGGAATACACAAAATGAAAAGTTTCCATGAGCAATAACAGATTATCATATCGTTAATCTTAATCCAGAGGAATTGACCAAAAATAACAAAATCCTTAAAGATCAATTTAATGTTTCCAAGAATTATAATGATACAATTAAAACCTGTGAAAAGTAGAAATTGACCCAAAAAATAAAAAAAAATCATTAAAGGTCAGTTAAATGTTCACAAGAAATTATACAAATAACACCTCTTAAAAGTAAGATAAAGTACAAATCATACAAGTAATCAAGTACTTTAAATACATATTGCTATCTTCACATTATTATTGTAACATGTAGACTCCAAATTTTGTACTCATCACGTACAGTTACATCCCAAACAAAAACAAAAAAAAATACAAAACAAGAAATTATAACCCTATAACACCTTGATCTCAGCTGGATAAATCTATTATAATCCATATCCAACCAACCAAACAAACAAAAAAAACCTTCTAAACATTGAATAAAGACCATACCGATTCCTCACAGATATCAATAATATTCAATATCACAACTTCACATCAATATAAGTGTCTCTGGAGAGCTCGTCCCAACACTTCAACGTGACGCAAAAAAAACAAACAAACAAACAAACAAAAAATAAACAAACAAACAAAAAATAAACAAATAAAAATAAACAAATAAAAAAGGGATGCTCCATATAACAGACTTCTTTGCATTAAGCATCCTTGAGTATCATGAAAATACATTAAATATATCGTATTTAAATATCATGAAATACATCGGATTGACATGATAGATAGATAGATAGAAGATAGAAAGACAGAGAGAGAGAGAGAGAGAGAGAGAGAGAGAGAGAGAGAGAGAGAGAGAGAGAGAAGAGAGATAGAGAGAGAGAGAGATAAGAGAGCGATAGATAGATTGAAGAGAGAGAAAGAAAGAAAGAGAAAGAGAGAGAAAACCAAAAAACCGAGAGAGAGACAGCAACGATCAACACACACTCACACATACGCACACACAAACCAAGAAGACAGAGAGAGGGGGGGATGAGTCAATATAAGGGGGGAGGGGGGTAGAGTAGAGGAAACACCACCGGAAGAAGAAAGACACAAATTGGGGACAGATACAAGTGGAAGAACAACACCAAAGGGAGTTTGATAAATGGTGTTCATAATTCGCAGAAATTTTCCTTTGGGAGGCAAAAAGTTTTTTCTGGACGAATTACACACGTGTGGACATACACAGAGAAAGGGATAGTGTGTGTGTGTGTGTGTGTAGATAGATAGAAGACAGATAAGATAGATAGAGAGAGAGAGAGAGAGAGAGAGAGGAGACAGACAGACAACGAGCAGAGAGAGAAGAGAGAGAGAGAGAGAGAGAGAGAAAGAGAGAGAGAGAGAGAGAGAGAGAGAGAGAAGAGAAGAAGAAGAGGAAGAGAATAGAGAGGAGAAGAGAGAGAGAGAGAGAGAGAGAGAGAGAGAGAGAGACAGACAGAGACAGAAAAGAGATATATATATTAGATAGATTAGATATATATAATATATATAATATATAATATATATATAAATATAATATAATATATATGAGGAGATATAGATAGATAGATAGATTAGATAGATAGATAGATAGATAAGATAGATAGATAGATAGATAGATAGAGAGAGAGAGAGAGAGAAAGGAGAACGATCCTGGATGACAACCTCCCCGCCTCGCCCGCCCGAGTAATTGTTGCTTTTAACCGCATCTTTTTCATCAAAAACCGAAAGATAATATATTTCTCTTTCATTTTTTTTTTCTTCTCTTTCAATCAATCTCGTTCTTTGATAACAGATATCATTATGATAGTAATAAAAAAAACAATTGCAATAGAGATGAAGAGAAACATGTATCAGCGATAATCATATTAAATATCCTTGGGTAACTAAATTAGATTAAGTTTAGTGGCATTAATCAAACTGATTACGTCATATATGTCCATAAAAGGAAGTCAGTCTTTGCAAAAAGGGAAGAAAAAAGACAGAAAAAAGCTTCCATATTGTGTGTGTGTTCTGTTAGCGGGTGATGAAGGAAAAAAAACTGTTATAGTTATTTTATTGTTTCTAAGGACAGACAGCAAACGAATAGTGTCTCTCATTCTGTCTGTTGTCTCTCTCTCTTCTCTCTCTCTCTCTCTCTCTCTCTCTCTCTCTCTCTCTCTCTCTCTCTCTCTCTCTCTCATCTCTCTCTCTTCTCTCTCTCTCTTCTGCCTCTGTTTGCCTGTTCTCTGTCTTCTGTCTGTCTGTCTCTCTCTCCCTCCCTTCCTTACACTCTCTCCCTCCCTTCCTTACTCACTCTCTTCTCTCTCTCTCTCTCTCTCTCTCTCTCTATCTATCTATCTAACTCTCTCTCTCTCTCTCTCTCTCTCTCTCCTCTCTCTCTCTCTCTCTCTCTCCTCTGGTATGTGTGTGTGTGTATCTGTCTCTCCCCTCCTCTCCCTCCCTCCCCCTCTCCCTCCCCCCTCTCCCTCCCTCCCTCGATCTGAATTAAAGCAGACAGAAGCAGAAAATACGTGACACAGCAAAGCTCAAGCAGCAGCAGATGCCTTCACGATCCCACAGAGCGCTAAAAGTGAGCAGAAATGCGCTAGACAGAGTGAGCAGAAATACGCTAGAGTACAACCGAGACTCCAGAGATGCTGGTAGAGTGTAGTAGACTCCCTAGGTCGAACGAGGGAGCACTGACCTGGTCTGGGTCGTGACTGGAATGAGCATAATATATTGTTTTATATTGATAATCATAAGATAATTTTTATTTAATATATAACTATAATAAGATAATTCATATTGATAATCATAAGATATTGTTTTATATTGATAATCAGATGGTAATATAATTTTGCTGATGGTAGTAATGATATGGTATAATGATATCAAAATAATAGCAATGGTAATAGGATGATATAGTATAATGATAATAAAACGACAGTAATACCAGCAATGATGATGATGATAACGATAATGATAATGATAATGATGATAATGATACCGATAACAATAATAACAATGATAATAATGGTGATGATAGCAATAACGATGATAATAATGTTGATGATGATAATGATAGTAATAATAATAGCAATAACTATAGCGATAATAACAATGATAATTATATTGATAATAAAAATAGACATTGGTGGATGATATGAGAAAAAATAATAAACAATCAGAGGAATAATAAAAAGAAAAGGACAAGCAAATAAAATAAGACTAAGAAATAGATGTAAAAATTAATAGATTTGATAAGGTAATACATATGCGTTAAACATACTAATTAGATAATAGGTTCGTAATATACAATAACAATCAGATAGATAGTATAATTGAATAAATTGATAAATGAAAAAGGAACGAGATAGATAGAATAAATATGTAGATAGCCATAATTACATAAATCAAAAGACATTTAGGTAAAAGAATTACGTTCTCTCTCTCTCTCTCTCTCTCTCTCTCTCTCTCTCTCTCTCTCTCTCTCTCTCTCTCTCTCCTCTCTCTCTCTCTCTCTCTCTCTCTCTCTCTCTCTCTCTCTCTCTCTCTCTCTCTCTCTCTCTCTCTCTCTCTCTCTCTCTCTCTCTCTCTCTCTCTCTCTTTCTCTCTCTCTCTCTCTTCTTTATTTCTTTACACCACAAAGTCCGCTTGTATGTTTTAGTATGAAATTCGGAGGAAATTTCTATAAGCGTCGGTGGTCTGTAGTTCTTGGAGCTGTTCTCGGAATGTTCATTTTCTATGCTGTGAACAACGATCATGAGGTGATTGATACCTGGTGCTTGTATATGTACACAGGTATACGCTCACAAACACGCACATACACTTAAGCATTTATTCACTATTGTCTTCTCTCTCTCTTCTCTCTCTCTCTCTCTCTCTCTCTCTCTCTCTCTCTCTCTCTTCTCTCTCTCTCTCTCTCTCTCTCTCTCTCTCTCTCTCTCTCTCTCTCTCTCTCTCTCTCTCTCTCACATACACGCTAACATACAGATACTCTCATTCACTCACACTACACATACACACACACACACAATCACATTTACACACACACACACACACACACACATTCACACACACCACATACACACACATACACACTCACACACACTCATTCACTCCCTCATTCACTCACACGCACAGAAACCATTACGCACAAGCACATTTACTTACATGCTATATATAAACATATCTCTAGCTAAGTAACTATGTTAATATATATCCTGATCATATAAAAAAATATGAGGATCAGATATCAGTGAGATACTACGCAATATGCAACGTGTAAGCCGAAAGTCCAAATTCCCTTAATTATTGCAAACTGTGCAAGTCACTTTAATATGAGGAGCTTCCATCCGCATGTTTTGCCTATGACGTCAATATTTATGTTTAGAAAATATAACATGCAAGATTCTTATCAAACAGATCTCCCAGAAGGCATAAACATCCAGGAAGATTTCGAACATAAGAAGGATGTATTTCTAGGTGATTTCTTTAAGAAAGTAATTTGGTTTGTAAATAAAGTTTTTCAGTGCAATTTGAGTCTCTCGTGTTTTTTTCTCTCTCTCTTTCTTGGTTTCCTTTCGTTCATCGCTATTTTTTGTCAGTCTGTGTCTGTCTCTGTCTTTGTCTCTTTCTCTCTCTGTCTGTCTTGTCTCCCTCATTCTCTCTCTCTCTCTGTCTCTGTCTGTCTGTCTGTCTCTCTCTCTCTCTCTCTCTCTCTCTCTCTCTCTCTCTCTATCTATCTATCTATCTCTCTCTTTTTTCCTCTTTTTCTTTTATTGACCCCCTCTCCGTCTCTCATTTTCTTTTTCCTCCTTCCCCTCTTCTTCCTATTCCTTACTCCTTGCCTCTCTAATTCTCCTTCTTCTTCCTCTCTATTTCTTCCTTTTCACCTTCCCTCTCTATTTCTCCCTCTTCCTTTTTCCTATCTGTTTCTCCCTCTTACTTTCTCCTCTCTAATTCTCTCTCTTCTTCCTCCCCTCCTCCTCATTCTCTATTTCTGCTCTCATTTCTCCTCTCCTCCCTCTCCCTCCCCCCTCCTCTCTCCCTCTTCCTCTCCCTCCTCTCTTCCTCTCCTCCTCGTTCCCTCCCCCAAGACTTCACTTCCTCCATCACTCCTCTCTCGCACAGGGCCGAGTACCCACCCCTGCCTTAATTAAATTGATACATGGCACCATATCTTAACCTCTTTATTCACGTCATCTTGCCTTACCTTACCTTAGACCCTACCTTCTTGCCTTCTTCTCCCAGGTCACTCCGGAGCTCCCCCAGCCTCGCTCCCCAAATTGATAATAATGGAGATTGATATATTAGTAATGATAACGATGATAACGTATGATATTAATTTGCCGTAAAAGTGATGCTGATAGTGATTGAATTGATGATAAGCGCGATGGAAATCAAGTGTGGGAGTTGATAGGATATCACTGATTATTGCAAACACACATGTACGTGTATATCTAATCTATCTATCGTATCTATATATCTATCTACCATCTATCTATCTATCTATATATCTATATATAATCTATATATATATAATATATATATATATATAGTATAATATATATAAATATATATATCTATCTATCTATTATATATCTCTCTATATCTCTCTCTATCTATGCTATATATCTATCTCTCTCTCTATATATATATATATATATATATATATATATATATATATATAATATATATATATAGTATATATATTATAATATATATGTATATATATATATACATAATATATATATATAGTATATGTTATATATATATATATTGTATATAATATATTATATATATATATATATATATATAGTATATATTAATAGTATATGCTATGTACTATTATCGTATTATATATATCTATATATATATCATACACACATCTTACCACACACAGCACACCACACAGTACACACATACCACACATATTATATATATATATATATATATGTATAATATATATATATATATATATATATATATATATATATATATATATATATATATATATTATATATATATATATATATATATATATAATATACATATATATATATATATATTATATATATATATATATTATATAATATATAATACTATATATATATATATATACTATATATATATGTATGTATATATGTATATATATCATCTACATAGCATACATATATATATATATATATATATATATGATGTATATATATATTATATATATATATATATATATATATATATATATATATATATATATATATATATATATATATATATTTATATATTGTATATATATATATATATATATATATATATATTATATATCATATATATATACTGTATTATATATTATTATGATAGTATATATAATATATATATATTATACTATATTAGTAATATATACATATATATGTATATATATATATAATACTATATATATATATATTCATATATATATATATATATATATATGTAATTGTATGATGTAATATATTCACATCATGTTGTACGTTGAGTGGTGTGTGTGTGTATTGGTTGTACATACAGGCACACGTACACCCACACATACATACATAATTATATATGTTATTATTCCGATGTATATATTATATTATACATACACACACACAACACGTGGCGCGCGTGTATTATAGTAATAGATTTGTGGACTATATATGTATATTATCATATACATAACCACCCGCCCCCCCCCTTTCTTCGTTTTGATATTCCCAGTCCACCCTTGCCCTCCCCCTCGCCCTTCCCTCCCCCACCAATTTCAACCCACCCCTTCACTATCTGCATCTCCCCCCCCCCCTCAGTCCCTCCTCCCCTCTCCCCCCAATCCTTATTTCTATCCCGCTACTAAACCCAAAATTTTCTCTCCTCTCCCCTTTCCCTCTTCTATCTACCATCGCCTTCCCACTAAAAATTCTTCCCCTCCCGGCCCTCCCCCACACCTATCCACCTATTGCTTTCATTAGCCGCCCAAGCCCCCACCCCCTTCCTACCCCTACCTTATATTCCCTCTACAAACCACTCCCTCCTCCTCACCTCAGCCTCCCCCCCCCCCTTCTTCCCCTTTCCCGCGCTAACCTCTCCTCCCCCTTCTCTCTTTCCCCCTTTCTTCCTCCATAACCAACCCCTTCTCCCCATCTCCCCTTCCCCTCCCTTCCCCCACCCCTCCCATACCCCTCCTATCCCTCTCCCCTCCTCCCCCCACCCTCCCATACCCCCCTCCCCATCCTTCACCCCCTTTCCTCCTCCTCCCCCCTTCCCCCTCCCCTTCCTTCTCCTTCCCCTCCCTTTCTTTCTCTCTCTCCTTCTCCCAATCCGGGCCAAGAGGAGGGAGTGGAGAGAAGAGTTCTTCAATCATCCTCTTATTCAGGTATGGCATCAAATTGCGTCCTGGACTGTTCTTCTGTGAAAAAAAATTAACGACTGGTTGAATATACACGGGCATGGAATGGGAGTGGGGATGGGGTGGGGCAGGGGAGAGAGGAGGGAGGAGAAGGTGAATGATGTGAGAAAAGGAGAAGGGAGACGGAAAGAGTTTGGATAAAGGGAAGTAGAGAGAGAGAGTAGAGAGAGAGAGAAGAGAGGACGAGGGACCGAGGCAGAGGGAGGGGAGCGAGACAGAGGAGAGAGAGAGGAGAGAGAGAGACCGAGAGAAGGAGAGAGATGGACGAGAATTGGATGAGGAGAAGAGAAGAGAAGA